AWKGGRMSTTAATCACAGGAGAAAAGGCTTTTARGGGAGTGCTTCAAGGAGTGGTGCTGMAGGTCYARGCAGGGAGGACTCTTGAGAATACCTGCTACTGAATTTCATTGTGAATTGTGTTTGCAGAGTCTTTGTGACAAGTGGTTTGAGCAGGCTAACTCCAGGCTGGGGCAGTGTGGTTTGAATCTGACCATCTGTTCTTTCTTGCAGATTCTGTTTGCCTGTGCAGAGGCCCTTTATGCACATGGATACAGTAGCGAGGCTTGYCGCTTGACTGTAGAGCTTGCCAGGGACCTACTGGCCAACCCTCCAGATCTCAAAGTGGAGCAGCCACCAGCTAAGGTAGAGATGTGGCAGCAACCATCAGTAGTCTTCATTTTAGTGCCACTCCATGCAGGTGACCCTGTTTCTTGTGATTCTCTCTAAAATCCCAGTCTCCCATTTYATGGTGCACATCACTGGAAAGGTTACTGGGTTTGCTGTTTCGGGATAAGAGGGTTGGACAGGAAAGAAATAAGCATAAACTTGTGGAAACTCACTTGTAGTGACATCAAGCAATGTTTGCTGTATGGAAGGGTTCCCTTGGAAGGGACAGGCGTGTGCTATCTGCCTTCACACCATCAGTCCAAGGGCATGTGTCTTGTCCACAGGCCAGCTCTTCCCCTGTGCTAGGGTGATACATGGAGAGCAGTGATGTTCAACAATAACTGCTGAAATCTGAGATTCCTCAGCAAAAGGAATCAAATGTAAATGTATTTTGTTCTTGTCGATAATTATTGCAAAGCATAAGAGGACAAGGACAGAGTCATTTAGATTGTTTAGGAACGTGTCATGTGACAAATTCCTCCTCAAACAGGGCAAAAAGAACAAGGTATCAACCAGCAAGCAGACATGGGTGGCAACCAACACCTTGTCTAAAGCTGCCTTCTTGCTGACTGTGTTGAGTGAGCGGCTGGAGTACCACAACCTGGCCTTCCGAATAGGAATGTTTGCTCTGGAGCTGCAGAGACCACCTGCCTCYACCAAGGCTCTTGAGGTATGAAATATCTCAAAAAGACAGTGTTCTGTTGTTCTGTTGGAAAGCATTTGCTCCTATGGTTTAAATTTAAACACCTGAAGTTTGCTTATGCTTTTATATATTTTCTTATAATGTTTTGCAGTGGAACTAAATTAAGTGCACATCCCATTAGTACATTTACTGCCAGAAAAAAATACTAGAATTATCACTTCAGCTGTTGTTACCTTCATTGATAGGAAGCTCAGACCTCATGTGCCAACAGGTCGTTGATTTCACATGAAACTATAGGCCTGAAAATATTTAAATGAGTACATAATCTTTCATGAATGTATTTGTTTTATTAGAACAGCCTACTTCTTGTCTYAAATATGTTTTCAGTTTACTTCACTGAGCTGGGGAAAATGAAGTCATTTGTTGATATCCATATTTGTCCAAATCTGCATTCGTGAAGTAGTGCTATTGTTACATGTTTGAAAATTGTTGCTCTTGCTGGTATCTCATTCATTGGCAAACAAGCCTATGCACTGTGCAAGCATATTATTTTGGATACTCCTTGATTATTATTAGGATTCCTGTTTTGAAAAAGAAGTGTCCAGTGAAGACCAGTGTGATTTACAGCCACCCTGCTTTTCACTGCAGGGTTGTTCAGTCCCTCAGAGTGTGTATAGTTGCTAGTCACCCATCAAACTACAATTATTACACTAATTATCTCTACTTCTTATGGTCTGATTAGAAGATTGTGAGATTGGCAGTCAATTGCTGTTTAAAAGAAAACAATTACTTTCACGTGTTAGGAATGGAGAGAATACAAGGCACAGACTAGTGAAGTGTCTTTGTCCTGATGGAATGTGTGCTGCCAAGATGTGCCCATTCTTCTGCTAATCAATCTCTGGTCTCTCAAATGGGTCTGTCCCTTAACATAGCATCCTTTCCTCCTACTATGACAAGTAACCACCTTTTCCACTGGTCTATCCAGTCAGATACTTCTGCTCATGTTCTTATGAGATCTGATCAATTTTTTCTGTATGCAGCAGAAGAGTGATCACTTKAGTAAAATATTTTATGTATAAATATGAAGCAAGACTGTTACTAGATTTGAAAACCTGTTTTCRTTGTGGAAAGAATGGTGAAGGTGGCTCGGCTGCTAAGAGTTGCTATARTTTAATAAACTAATAAAAACTATGGCTTTATGTATACATGAAAGTGGTCTGTGGTACTGTGCTGTTGACAGCTTCTTCTGTTTCCTTGTGGATTCTACCAGGTGAAGCTGGCTTATCAGGAATCTGAGATTGCAGCCCTCTTGAAGAAGATTCCCTTGGGCACCAATGAGATGAACACTATTCGAGGAAGAGCTGAAGAACTGCGAGAAGGGACGTTGTGTGATTACCGTCCTGTCCTGCCTCTGATGTTGGCAAGCTTTATATTTGATGTCCTTTGCACTCCAGGTACAGACTGATTGGCCTGTGTGTGTCCAGGGCATATTCTGAAATGACAGGTCTTGAGGGATTTGTAAAGAGAAGCTGCCTTCTGTATAAGAGCGACCAAGGTTTTATTCTTCATATGCTGTTGCTTGCACTCGCCTCTAGGTTGCTTTAGCAATATTTTGTTCCCCAGTGGAACTGTTTTTCTTTCTGCCTACATTTGATAACACCTGGACAATTAACGCATTTCAGCACTTTGTGTGTATTTGTAAAATAGTTATAAATAACTGACTTTTCTGCTTTTATGCTGATGATATTCAGAGGAAGCTAATATAAGCTAGTATCTAAAAAAGARCATAGCAGCCTGGAATTAGAAGACTGACTTGGTGATATATCTGCCTGTCTTGGAGAAGTTTAGAGAAAATAATGGAGAAAAAATGTCATCAGGTCTGTGGTCTTGAAACTGRTATGAGGCTAAGAATATGACTGCAGGAAGCTCTGCAAATTCAGAAAGCTGTCAGAAATGTCTTTTGCTTTCAAGTCCTAGCTTTGAAAGCTGAACAGTAATGCTATTGTTTTCTTTCAGTGCTTTCTCCTACAGGCTCTAGACCCCCAAGCCGTAATTGGAATAATGAAATGCCTGGAGACGAAGAGCTTGGTTTTGAGGCAGCTGTTGCTGCTCTTGGTAAGAATCTTTTTTGAGAAAAGTCTGCCTTCATCCACGTTCTGCATCCTTTCTGTATTTGGATGATGAGAGTTAGTGGCTCATTCTGGTTTGGTGCAGAAACAGAAATGTTTGTGCAGTTTGACAGAACCAGGTGCAGGATTCTACATGCCAGGGTTGAGGTAACTTTGTAAAGCTGTGAAAAAATGGAAGGAGAATATGGGACGAGATCTCAGTGTTGAAGTAGTAACATGAATTTTAGTTTCCTGCTTGCTGTTTTGTTATGAAATATGTATTGCCTGGACTTTAATGCAGATGGACAGTTTCAGGAAACAAAAGGCAATCAATTCAGAAGAAATTAGACAACGGTAGTGAAAGACTAGCAGAAGTACTCTCAAGCATTATCATATCATTCAGGATCTTAGCATAGTGCTGCATTCTTGCCTCATCTGCTTCAACAACAAAGCAGTGATTATATACATATTATGTTGACAATACTATATGCCTGCTTTAAAGCAATATGCAAAAAGGAATAGAATGGATTAGACAAGAGCTGGTCTCTGTTATCTCATCTCTGAAAGGAAGAAGATGAGTTTCTTATGGTGTTGGAATGCTGGCTTGTAGCATYTGCAGAAACCAAAAGGTTTTGTTTCAAGATAGGGTTGTAGGCTTGCCTGGACTCTTGCTGTGGCCTTTTAGTATTTGTTTGTTCTGACAGTTGTAGCAAACTTAGTATTCTAGGGACAGATGGCAGCTTCTGTTTATTGATGGCCTATTTCTGAAGTGAACAGAAAAAGAGGGGGAAAAACATCTTATTTTGCCTGTAACAGTGAGGTGAATAAAACGGTCTGAGGCAGACATAGTGCACAGCATGTAGTGTAGTTCCATGGGCTCACTTGTCTCCTCATCCTCTCTTATATGGGCTGCAGGTATGAAAACAACTGTCAGTGAAGCAGAACATCCTCTGTTGTGTGAAGGCACACGAAGGGAGAAAGGGGAACTGGCATTATCCCTGATGAGTACTTACAAGGATGATCAGTCTAAGCTGAAGAAGGTGAGTTTTCCTCTGAAAGGGGAGGAGATGGAAGGTAAACCATGTTTGGGTTTTGATAGATACGATAGTTTTGCTGGTGAGTATAAGTTGCTGTGTCACCTACTGATGTTTTACAAGCTATATGGTGGTATTTGTATTCATCCACTGATGCAAAACCTGATTGTGCAGCGTGCGTTGCCCTGGGAGAGGCACTCTTTCCATGGGTTTTTTAAGGTCCAGTCAGATGTGTTGTCACTGCTTTTATTGCTTTTGTTTACCTGCTAAGGCAAGTCCTCTCCAAAGGGTTTTTAGTGTGCAGTCTGTGTGTGGTCTGGGGATTGCATATGTCTTGCTGCAGGGATATTGGCTTGCAGAACAGTATACCTAGCAAARCCTTTGTTTCTTAACATCTCTTTAATATATTAGTTGAGTACACGTGTCTTAATTTCCTGTGTGAGAGAGTGAAACTCTGCCTCTCCACCCCAAAGGAGGAAAAAATACTGAAAAGTGCTGAAGCTTAGAAAGGGTTTTATTAATCTTTAATAATGTACTTCTTGCTGTGTAGGAGGATTTCTGTATATAAGTGTCTTTTTGTCTCTTAAAAGARAAGCACTTTTGCTATACTCTTGCAGGGAATAACAGGGACACTGTCATGTCAATCATCTGCATATAAATGGTCTGTCAGACTTGTGGTGTTGATTAAATATGTAGAATAAACACTAGAAGTGGACAAACCCTTAAAATGTGGTCATGCATTGTTCCCCAATTACATAATAAATTAAGACAAGAAAATTACTGTAGGCCAGTGTAAGGCATTTTCTCTAGCAGCTTTGCCAGATTCTCAGTAACGTATGACAGGATTTTCTTAATGGTGAGCACGGAATTTTTGTGACTTAAACAACAACATCTGGCAGAACTAAATTTAGAATCCTCCATTCTCTCCTTGTTATACCAGAATTACGTGTTTTTGTGATTTTTGGGTGGTTTTCAAGTAAAGCCAGTGGCTGTTTCAAGTGAATATGAGATATTACTGGGTCTTTGCTCCCTCAAGTAATGCAGACCACATGGCTCCCGCTGTGCATTGCACTAATCTTCAGTGCAGGGAGATGATGTCTGTTTTCTAAAGAATAAGCATTTTCTTTTTTTCTCCAATGAATGAAATTTGTTGTCCACCAGGAAGTTGATTTGGTATTTTCCCTCTTTGTCTTAGTGTAATGCTTTACCCTTCTCTTACCTGTTTGCTGAGGGCTCTTTTTTTCTTTTTCTCTCATTRTTGAAGATTTTAGACAAACTTCTGGACAGAGAGAGTCAAACTCACAAACCACAAACTCTGAGTTCTTTCTACTCATCCAGCAAGCCTACAGTTGCAAATCAAAAATCGCCTTCCAAACATGCTGCCCAGTCTGCTGCAGCTATCCAGCAGCTTCCAGGGACTTCTGTCACTCAGCAAACTGCTGTAAACACTGCAGTCCAAAGCAGTCCTGAGAACTTCGTGGAGAAGAATGCACAGGGTAAGAAGTGCTTGGTAACAGCTATGCTAAAATTTTCCATAGTTGCAGCCTGTTTTCCAAATATTGAGTTAAATGTTTTTGGCCTGATGTCAGATGACATGTGCTTGATAACTGAATGAGAACTGAGATAATCCTGCTCATAAATACCATTGATTTTATAAAAATATTTGATTTTTTGCTATTTATATCTTTTAAATGGCCACATCTGGTTTTAGAGATACAGAAACAAAATTATGTTTAACTTGTCACTGTCCTTTATGCAGAGAGCTCTCAGAGGTCCCCCTGTGAGCCAGCTGCGGAGGCCACTGTTTTGAAACAAGAAGGAAAGGTCCCCAGTCGTTTGGCCCTTGGAAACCGAGGTGGATACAATGGGAGATGCTGGGGTTCACCTGTCAGGCAGAAGAAGAAGCACACAGGTGGGAATGGAYTAGCTCAAACAGCATGTAGTGCTCTGCTAGGGCCTCCGCTGGGGTTTAGCCCTTGTTCACACAAAAAAAGCCAGAGAGGAACTTTTTACAAGGACAGGTAGAGATATGATAAAGGATGACAGCTTTAAACTGAAAGAGGAGAGATTTAGGTTGGATGTTAGGAAGAAGTTCTTTACTGTGAGGCTTGTTGAGGCTCTGGACAGGTTGCACAGGGAAGTGGTAGGTGTCCCATCCCTGAGAGTGTTCAAGACCAGTTTKGATGGGGCTTTGAGTAACCTGTTCTAGTGGAARGTGTCTCTGWCCCTGACAGGGGCRTTGGAACAAGATGATCTTTAAATTCCCTTCCAATCCAAGCCGTTCTRTGACTCTCTCATTCTACTTGTCAGTACAACAGAAGCAGTTGAGTGTTTCTGATGTGTTTGATGTGAACAAATAAGATTTGCTTATTTGTTGCTCCATAGATTTTCTGCCCCATTCTGTATGGCAAGTTATCATGACTTTCTTGCACCAGTTATGTTCTGTGTGATGGATTAGATATCTGGAGCTGAATGATTGCTGTGTCTGGGAATGGAGCATTGTGCTCCTGGATCCAGAAACAAATTCAGAGAAGCTGCTGCATCTCTACACTTCTCTTGGGAGGGGTATTAGTTAGAGGCAGAAGATGTGAAGGTTGTGCAGCATATATCTGAAGAGTTTTCTTCCTATTCATATAATATGTGAAATTTGACTTTGTATGTCTATTTGCTTCTTGATGTTTTTCTCTTCCACAAAGYTTGGCAGGTGGAGTGAGGGGTGTGAAGGGGGAAGTAAAGGTGTCTTGTTCTTGGACACTTCTGCATTTTAATCCAGGAACTACGAAATGACATTGATGTCTGTGGCCCAATTGATTTTATTTAATCTCTCTTAATTTACAGTGAATGCCTGGCAGCCCTAAAGCTGTYACTGACACAACTGATCTTAGTTGGTACTGCAGGGATATGGTTAGGAGCTTACTTACCCACATCACATTTACCAACCTGGTGACATTTCTGTGTTGGTTCTGGTGTTGTAGGCATGGCTAGTATTGACAGCAGTGCTCCTGAAACCACCTCTGACAGTTCTCCGACGCTCAGTCGGCGTCCCCTACGTGGAGGCTGGGCAACAACATCCTGGGGCAGAGGACAGGACAGTGACAGCATCAGCAGTTCTTCAAGTGATTCGCTGGGATCTTCGTCTTCCAGTGGCAGTAGGAGAGCCAGTGGGGGAGCCCGTGCAAAGACTGTGGAAGTTGGCAGGTAATGAATAATACCAATCTCTGGGCTGGGCTTCATCTTGGGGACCTGGCACGTGTGCATTGGGAAACACTTTATGGGGAAAATTTGCTTTGTTTCCTCTGAACCCTGGAGATAGGGGCTCCAGCTGGCAAACTTTTGAGTTATTTGTTGTCTGAAAGATTCCTCTGTCTTCTAGGTATAAAGGGAGGCGACTGGAAAGCCATGCTCCTCATGTTCCAAACCAGCCCTCAGAAGCAGCTGCTCACTTCTACTTTGAATTGGCCAAGACAGTCCTTATCAAAGCAGGTGGAAACAGCAGTACCTCTATCTTCACCCACCCTTCCTCCAGTGGTGGGCACCAGGGACCACACCGCAACCTTCACCTCTGCGCCTTTGAGATTGGGCTGTATGCACTGGGGCTGCACAACTTCGTGTCTCCCAACTGGCTCTCTCGAACTTACTCCTCCCATGTCTCTTGGATCACAGGTTACAGCAAAAATTTTTGGGAGGCTTACTTTTGGGCAGGAAGGGGGGGCGGTTAGGGAAGCAAGCTTGTTCTTGAAAATRGTCATGCTGATGTGCTGTAGTAGCCATGTAAGCAGCTCACAYAGCTGCAGTAGTTGCTGATCAACAGTGATTTACACAGTGGTGCTTACCTGGAAAGTTCTTGTGTCCTTCTTTCTTCTTGTTTGTAACACAAYRTGCTTCAGTCTAAAAAGTCCACTTCTCATAAAGAGACTGGTCTTTACCTCTCCTTCAGAGATGTGCTGAAGAGAGAGACATTTGTCAAGTCTGAATGTGCTCTTTGGCTGTGTTCAGTTTTCACTTTCCTGCTCCTTCWGATTGCACCCATACCTACTACCTATCCATACAGTTTCTAGAGGCCTAAAAACGTACCTTTTGAAAATTAATTACATGACGAAATAGAGTGACAGTCCAGACTGGTTTGTGTGTGGGTACTAAAATCAGCTGTGGCAAGTACTTTTTGCTATATCCAATGCATTTCAGCTTAACTTTGTTAATGGTGTCCTCACTCACCACTTGCTTATTGAGGGCTCTTGACTGTCCTATATTTTGGGAGGAAGCACCTAAATTTGTTGTGAATCCTAAGGAAAGCAGCTGGGCTCTGCCATTGCTCCTGAGGAAAGTGAAGAGTGCACCTGGTGTTGAAAGAAAGCTGACTGTAAYTGTGCTGGGCATACAGTGGAACGTCTCTCTCACTCTTCCTCTTAGGGCAGGCCATGGAGATTGGTAGTGCAGCCTTGAACATCTTGGTGGAGTGTTGGGATGGACATCTAACACCCCCAGAGGTGGCATCACTGGCAGACAGAGCTTCACGGGCCAGAGACTCCAACATGGTGCGGGCAGCTGCTGAACTGGCGCTCAGCTGCCTGCCTCATGCCCATGCCCTGAACCCAAATGAGATCCAGAGGGCTCTGGTGCAGTGTAAGGAACAGGTGAGCATCACATGGCAGCTGCTGATTATTCTGCTGCATAGCMTATTGCTGGCCCCCATAGTGTTAGTCATTTTAGACTGCCTTATACTTTTCCCTTCTTGTAAGTTTTTCCCTCTTGTGTTTCTTGTTTTACATTCCTAACAATTTCTTCGGTTTCACTGCTCCCAGGACAACCTGATGCTGGAAAAGGCCTGCATGGCAGTAGAAGAGGCAGCCAAAGGAGGCGGTGTGTACCCAGAAGTCCTCTTTGAAGTAGCTCATCAGTGGTACTGGCTCTATGAACAGACTGTTGGTGGCACCCCAGCCCAGAGAGAAGGTGCCACTGGCTGCAGCGCTAGCGGCGCACGGGCCGCGTCAGAAGCGGCGCGGGGGTTGGCAGACAGCCGGGTGACCTCGGAGCCCACCACRGTGACAGTGGCAGCTGCAGTGACTGCGGCAGCAACCGTCATGCCAGTGATCTCTGTGGGGTCCACCATGTACCAGCAGCACACGGTGGCAGGGCCAGCAATGGCACATACACACACGCAGGGTCTCCACCCTTACACCACCCTTCAGACTCACATCCCCTGTAACCCCCAGTATATCGGACACACTATCCAGCACATGCCGCGCCCAGCTGTCTTCCCRGTCCCTGGCTCGGCGTATCCCCAGGTGAGTTTTGACTGTGCCTTGTTTGTTTGCTGTGATCTTGTGTTGCTGCTTTCAGAGGGAGTATGCGGGACTGGGGAGAGCATGGGGCTCAGACCTGTCATGACTTAAGATCCAGCTTCTGCTCTCACATGCTAATGATATTTTGGTGATACTTTGGCACTCCAGTTCACAGTTTGCACAGTAAGGAGCCTTCTATGGCTACATTTAAAGTCTCAAGAGAAAATAAAATTCAAGTTTATCAGTAGTTTTTAATTGCTGTTGCTCTGTAATTTCTCAGAGGGCACTGGACAGAGAACTTATCTTTTTGAGAGCTTGCAGGCTGAATAGAGACTACRGTGGGAAAACCAAATAAAGGTTATTTTAACCTTTGCCTATTTTTGAAGGTCTTGGAGTGGTTTTCTGCMAACTGATCAGATTTTTAAAAGGAGAAGGAGCAAGCAGATGTAATGCTCGTGTGATGCAAGGTTCTTCCTTTGCTTCCTTTTCCTGTCAGACTGGACTTTTCCAGGCTCTGGGGTTGTGTGGGAACGTGATGCTTTGAAGTAAACAGGCAAAGTTAGACGCGACTGTTACTGTCTGTTTTAGGGTGTCCATCCAGCATTCATCGGGGCGCAGTACCCTTACTCAGTAACAACACCGTCGTTGGCAGCTACAGCAGTGTCCTTCCCTGGYGTGCCCGTCCCCTCCATGACGCAGATTGCTGTGCATCCCTATCACAGTGAGACGGGACTATCGCTGTCTTCCAATGTAGCGCGTAAGTTACAGCTCTGGGCTGAGTAGCAGAGGTTTCTTTAATGTCTCTCTTAGCTGTTCCCCAGTGAGGTCCTGTTCCTCACTGATTACAGCTGGAATGAGGGTTCTTGCACTGGGAGGTTCTGGCCAAATGCACACCGTTCTAAAGGTGTGCATGCTCGGGTACTGGGATTCACGAGGGGGCCTGATACAGTTAGCAGAGAGAAATTTCTGTGTGGCTAAATTTCCAGTATGAGATTATTTTGGCCTCAAGTCTAAAGCATGTTTGGAGCCCTTCTGGCCTTTCTGACTTCTGACTTKTAAGACTTTATTCCTGCTCTCCTTTGGGCAAGGTGGGCATAGATGAGTCTTGAGCAGACTCATGATTCCTTTGGGTCAGATGAACAGAGTGCAGGAAGCAGGCAGACTTCTGCTGCAGAAGGACTACTAAGTGTCCCTTCCTACCTGGAAGGATTTGAGGCAGCCAGTGCCCAAGCTTTGGAACTTGCATAGAGAGGACAGATGTTTTGTCAGTTACGTCAATTACCTTTGGAATGGTTGCTCGTGTGCTGTGCTGGGGCTTGAKTGATGGTGGTAACCCATCAAATAGTGTGTAGCACTGGGACAACAGATACTGACTGAATTGTGGACATGCTGTCATTGCCATGGAGTGTTGTACCAGTGGGTCATGCTTGAYACCAGTCTCTGTTAACCCCTCACTGGCGAGTCTGCAATATTTGCCTGTTTTAACAGTTTTGCAACTCACCAGGTACTGGAAKACTGGTATGTGGAAAAACACTTAAGAGTTGTGTTTGCCTCCTTCATATTCAGGGTACCAGGAGAATATTTTCAGTTATTTTTATCCTGTATTTTGATGCTAAAAAGCCACCACAAAAGGAAATAGAATAGTCCTGAAGGCCTCTGACAGCTGTCAGCCTTAGTCATAGTTGGATACTTCGACCTCTCATTGTGAGAAACCATTTCTGTATTTCTCCTAAGAGTTAGGAATCTTGCAGAAGTGCTAATTCATCCTAGAACACTTAGAAGAGTGAAAGGAGAGAACAACTCCACCCTTTCCAGTTGCCATTGTTTATGGCTTCCATAAATTTCTTTTCAGTTCTTAAAATAAATTTTCAGTGTTCCTGAAGTACATAATTGTGTGGTGATGCTTGAGCTCTGGTGAAAATTTAACTCATTCTTATGGGTTATTCCCCTTGGCCAGACTTCAAATGCAGAATGAATTTTGCCCCACTTTGTGGGTTGTTTGTGTCTCCTTGGTTGAGGAGGTCAGACAGATCTTTGCATTGTTCTCAGRTACTCAGCTATTCACTAGTAAATATGGAGGGGAAAAAAGGGAACTTAGAGCTCAAGCTGGTGTAGTAGCACCACAGAGAAGCTGTGAAATAAGGGTAACAATGTGCACACACCTCATGGGGTCTCTGCTTTGGAGTTCTCAAGCAAACTTTGCTTTTTGCTCTTTGTACCTTTCTTGAGAGGGACAGATAAATTTGAGTCTCCTGTCAGAGTGCAGCTTAATCAYTCAGTGTTAACTGCTGTCAGTACAACTTTAAGTGGTACAATGCAATGGATTTGCATTTGAAACCTGTCATTTCCTTTGATTTTGCTCAGACTGGTTAAGTGTCTGAAGGTGACAACTTCTCAAGCCTCCTTGCTGTTTTTACCATTGATGCATGCTGCCARTGTGTGCAGTGACTGTTCTTCCCAATGACTGGAGGTCAACCTCCAGTAACATTCTTCCTGAACRGAGTGACAGCTGTTGTACAGCTAAAGTGGAAGAACTTTGCATTGTTGAACTTGATCTTTGAGTGACTTAATACTGTTCCTGCTCAGTMATTTTCCTAGCAGTTTCTCATCAGTTGTAGACATACACATGATTGTTTCCTTGGATAAAAAATCAGAACCATTTTATTTGATAATAGCAAAAGCCTCTGAATCAACACATACATTTACATATAAAACAAAGATTTTGTGCATGTTCACAGGATACTGCAGAAGAGATGGATACACACATGTAAATGACACAGTYGGGCCCAGCTTGCAAACAAAATAGAGCTATTCCTGGCCCATTGTGTTTCAGTTGTAAGCCTATGGGTTTTGGTTGCTGTATTGTTCTGTTTAGAGGAACATACCCCTATATTGACTGGGGGCAGTCAGGTAAAGGAGAKGATGTCCCAAGTAAACCTTCTTTTAGGCTGGTGCTGGGTCCTAATGCTGCTGTTTTGCTCTCTTCAGTAGGCAGTGTCCATGCAGGATCAACGTTCCCAGCGATTCAGGGTGCTTCCTTGACAACTCTGTCCTCACAGCCCAACTCCCTTGTTACAGGGGGTTTTCCTGCTGAGGATGAGCAGCACAGTCAGCCTGTGAGCCCCCAGGGTCTGCACTACCTCCACTCTGCATACCGAGTTGGTAAGATGGCCAAGTGGGTTTCTCTACCCCCTGTGAGGGGGATTCAGGGCAAGGCTGCAGGTTTTCACTCTCATTTGGCARTTTGCTACTGCACCTGTTGTGGGTGAATGCATCTTAGGGACATGGAAAAAATAAGTTGATGATCATATGCAGAGGCTAAAAATGAAGACAAAGCATTGTAAGATTGAACAATTGCTTTTCAGGACCATCAGAGCAAAAGAGAAAGCTAAGTGGGTTAGAGCTGGGACGAGTCTTGCCTTTGAGCAGATGTACATAAAGGAGTCTGAATAGGGCTCTGAGGATGTGACTGTGCAAGTTGTGACTGTATGAAAAAATGATATTTGGCTCTTGCTGCTCATGGATGGGAAGGTAGACCTCTAGTTTAATACCAGCTGTGTCTTCAGAAGCACAAAGGCCCTGTGCCTCTCCAGTTAGTTGCTGAAGACAGATGCAGAGGGAACTTATATTTTGTGGAGAGTGGGTATGTAATTAGCATTACTTTCACAGTCATACTGGTTATGAGGAAATAGAGTCTCTGCCTGAATTCTCATTGGTACAAGGATATCAATCTTAGGGTTAGTGATTGAACTTAGATTGTACTAAGCTACTTGTACATACTCATGGTCCAACTCAGTGGATACTTGATGTAGGAGAAGGAATCCTCTAAAATAAGCAAAGGAAGAGAAACAGCAAGAAAAAYGGAAGAAAAGCTTGACTTTTTTTTTTTGAAAGCTAGAGTAGAAAGTACTTGTTAGCTAGAAATGGATGCAGATGTTATTTAAACTATCACAGGGATATGTGGCAATTGTGTTTAACAGCCTGTATAACRGCAAGGCACAGGCAGGGAGGATGAGCTGGAAGATCAAGACATGGCACATATCAGTATTTGAATACTGTTTAAATAGGTGGGTTTGTCTGAAGTGCTGTAATGGCATAAGTGAAAGGTTTGCAGATTGGCAATACTGCAGCTCAGTGTTGGCCTGTTGTCTTTGTGCAGAGGAGGTTGATTTGGGTAGCTTCTCTGTTGCACAATGTAGATCAAAAGCATTGCTTTCAGCACTCCTCTTGTAGTGCAGCCTTTGGGGCTCTCTGCTGGATGCTGCCATAGGTGCTTGTGGAGTGTCTTTATGCAGGTCTGGTTAGGGGTGATGACTGTGCAGGTTTCCCAGCCTGGAGCACCAGATCCAGATGTYCTTGCAGATAGTTCCTGTGCTGGCAGGCTCCAAGATTGGTTTTTTGTTTCTGTCTGGACTCKTCAGCTGTGGAATTTCCTGTTGGTGAAGGGCAGGCCAGTCAGGTGTTGTTGCAGTCAGTGAAATGCTAGGCTAAGCCTTCCTGGGCAGAAGTGCTGCTTGATTGTGGCTGCCCTTTTCTCACAGGGATGCTGGCTCTGGAGATGCTTGGCCGAAGAGCTCACAACGACCATCCCAACAACTTCTCCCGCAGCCCGCCCTACACTGAGGATGTAAAATGGCTCCTTGGGTTAGCTGCAAAGTTAGGTAAGGCTCAGAGCAGTGCTTAACAGAAATCCACTTGCCGGGATTTGGGCCATGGTGGGAAAAAGCTCTTGAAAGAGTGAACTTCAAAGACTGGGCAAGCCTGATATCAGTCTCATTCCTGAGTGTCTCAGAAGATCCCTATTGTTCTTTCATTTGCACAGTTGTCCCATTTTTGGGTTCTGTAGGCATGCTGTTGAATTTTGAGGCACTGGATGAAGTACCTGCAATTGAACGAGTTTCAGAGCTTGTATCTCTTCCATTCTATAATATTGATTCTTTCTTTTCCATTTCCACTATCCTGTAGGTATTCCTCTTCTTTGTGTATATTCATACCTTCTGTGAAGACCTTTTATAGCAATAGGTGTTCAAACCACCTATTGTTTGGGGGGTTGTTTGTTTTTACTTTCATTTTGCTCTTGGATTTTTTTATCACTCATTTTTAAAATTCTTTCATAAGCAGTAAGAACTAAAAAAACAGCCACCTTTACAAACGGCCTTGCTAGTGGCATAGCTTCTGCTGCTCCTGCTGGCAGAGCTSCACTGTAGGAAGTGCTGGGGCAGCTTGATTTATGTCTACAGTGTCTTTAAAGCCTGACTGCTGAGGCCTCTAGGTGCTTCCCAGATGGGCAGTCAGGAAACAATGGAAAAGGTACAGTGTTATTGTCACTCTAGTTACCTTGCTACATTAGTTTTCTTTCACTTGCCATTTAAAGAAAGGTGAATTGGGAATAGCAGTGACTGAGGTGGTACCTGGTCTCTCCTCTGACCTGACGGATACAGCAGAATGTTCTCTGTCCCCCTGAGCTTGCTAGACTGTCTCCCCCAAGCCTGCTGGAGGATGCAGTACACTGAGAGGAAGGTGCTCCAGATCCAGTTTCTTGCTGCAAAGTGTGTGATTTCTTGTGTATCTGTTATCTTAACACTTGTTCTGACTTCTTCCTGTGCAGGTGTAAACTATGTGCATCAGTTTTGTGTTGGTGCAGCCAAGGGGGTGCTGAGCCCTTTTGTGCTCCAGGAGATCATCATGGAAGCTCTACAGAGGCTCAACCCTGCCCATGTGCACAACCATCTCCGCACCCCAGCCTTCCACCAGCTGGTGCAGAGGTGCCAGCAGGCCTATATGCAGGTAAAGTGAAGCTTATCTTCCTGGCTGTCAGAGCTGCYAGGCCACTGGCTGCCTTGCAGGTACTGCCTGTGTGTGCATGTGCAGAGGGGAAGGGGCCTTGGGCACTGGTAACTGAAGTGGCCCATTTCCTGCTGAATCCCTCTCCTCAGCAGGACTGGAAMAGATCTCATTTGCCTGTATGGAGGCTGCATGCAAAGGAACTCATTGTACTGCTGCTGCCAAGGCCTTTCATCTCCTGTGCTCTTCTGTGAAGGCGGGGTGTTTCTGTGTCTTCCTCACCCCAAATGCTACTTGTGTACCTTTTAACTTCTGAACTTTTTCTTTGCCATGTTTTCAAGCCCCCTGTGCACCCCTGTCCTTAGTCCATCTTTTTTCTTTCCTTGGTAGCCGTAGCCTGTTTTTTTTCTCCTCATGAAGCCCAGGCATAGTGGTCTGGTGTGCCAGTGCTGACACTAACAGTGGAAGTGGCTTGATCAGCTATGGGTACAGAGGTCTCAGGCTTTACTGAAACCAGGACAAGTGTGTTTCAGTGAGCAACTGGAATACTAAACCTGCCTGTTCCTTAAAACAGTGCAAACCTTACATATACCTGCTTCTCTCGAATAAATGACCAAGGGATGATTCTGTAGCCACATTATCCAGATAGGATTAGCTGTCCTATTGCCTAGACTGTTTTTTCGAGAAATGACAGCTTTTTCATTTTACCTTGGTAGCTGAACCTGCCAGTTTGGGGCCTTATTTGAGAAGGTGATAGAGGTGACAATGTTAAGCCTAGAGATATTTTCTAGCAACTTAAGTGTTAACTTCACTGGGCCTATTCCCCTTAGCAAAGGAGAGATGTGCAGTGACCAGGCTGGGTGTAACCTGCAGAACGAAAGGTTGTGAGGGTTGGATGCTGTTGGGGTGACTAAAGGTTACCTGGTAACTAAGAGTTACCTGGCCCTTTAGTGCTGTAYTCCGACCCAGTACACTGCTCGTGACAGAGAGGGCACTTGCTACTTTTGTGTGCTGCACTTYGGTGCTCTGAGGGAGCATGGCCCTTGGCTGTGCTGGGTGTGGGATACAGCACTGCTGCTTCTGGATACTCTCCTCTGTCAGAGCCGTAAGTCTTGGGACTGCTGGTGAGTAACAGGGTTATGTAACCCATTGCTCTGGGAGTTGCAGTCCCCTTCTGAGTGTCACCAGCAGGAGGGTGCTGAGCAAATGCCCTAAGACTCTTTCCCTGTTCCCATGCAGTACATCCATCATCGGCTSATCCATCTCACTCCAGCTGACTACGATGACTTTGTGAATGCCATCCGCAGCGCCAGAAGCGCCTTCTGCCTGACTCCCATGGGCATGATGCAGTTTAATGATATTCTCCAGAACCTAAAGCGCAGCAAGCAGACAAAGGAGCTGTGGCAAAGGGTCTCTCTGGAAATGACCACCTTCTCACCATGACATCGGGTGGAGCTCCACGGACACACAACCCTTTGCCCAACATAGTTGTAGTTCCATTTACACCATCCTTCCTTCTGGTGTCTTTTTTATTTTAGTTTTAACTTGTTGGAAACCACTGATCTGATGTATTTATACCATGACATTCCTCTCCAGCACTGTTGCGTGTTGGCGCTCTGCTTTGCTCGCTCTTCCTCCTCCTTCTCAGTGGGCTGCAGGCTTCAGAAGCATCAGGAAATGAGAAGGAAGTTGAGCTGGCTGCCCTGTGGTGTAGTCACCGCTTTTTTCCCTGAGCCCCGGGAGGCTGTCCTGCGAGCAGTTTGCAGTGTGATTACGCACATGTTAGAGGGGTTGGGGATTCTGTCTTAAATATTTATTTTGGCATTTATAAATATGTAAACTTTTTTTTTTGTATGGGCTTCTCTTACTCCACACACCATCTCCTTTTGGGAATGGCTGGAACTGCTGTGCACAGCGAGTGCTCCCTCCATCCCTTTCAGCAACTCCTGGTGAGAGAAGCTGAGACTGGAGTAGCCAGGGCCAGGGCCACCTCTGCAGCTTTCTGCAGCAGCTGAGGGCAGAGGCTGGAGCCTGGGCAGTCAGTCCTTGACTGTACTGAGCTGCCTGGAGACTGCCAGAAGTGGTTGGGTTCCTTCTCAGGAGTGTCCCCGCTGGGCACTGCTGGCCCATAGAATGTTTTGATCCTGGTTGTTACAAGTTGTACAATCCTGTTTCTTTTGGCTGGGGTATTACTCTCCTGTAATCAGTTTCTTATCCCTCCTCTCTTCTCGTTTCCTGATTAAACACTCGTTTTCTTAGACTGACTCTCTCTTCTCTCTGCTCTGATGTTGGCAGTCTGAAGGAGCTGGCCAGCTGTGTGTCAGTGGGAGCTCCTTTGAGCCCTCGCTGTGGTGCACTGGGGAGAAGCAATCCAGCACAAGCTGGGAGCCCAAGGTTTCTTGCCTGGTACTGCACTGAGAATGATGTGCCTCTGCAGAGGCTGAGGTCTGTGTTTGGTGGGTGTGGGGAGAGTTGGTGGTAAGCCTGGGATGCTCTGCCTATGGTTCAGTCACTAGGTTCCTTTTCTATGCGAGCCTTGTATGCCCCAAGTATTGTGCAGAACAGCAGCTGCTCCCATGTATTTAGTGAGGTATTTGGTGGAGTATGAAGGATATCCAGTAGGGACAGCACTGCGATAAATTAAGTTTAGATAGCCTAAGTGTATAAGCACATAAATTTCAGGGCATTTAGAAGCAGACATCAGATGACTCATGTATGTTAAGAATCCAGTTTCTCAGTATAAATGTATTTTGCTTCTTACTTGGGCTTAATCAATGAGTTTTAGTTTCTGCAAGTTAGAAATATGTGCCTGTTTGTTATTTTCAATGATACTCTTAAAAAGTAAAGTAATTCATAGGCACAGGGCAAAACAGATGAACAGATGCTTTTGGTCTGGTACGGTCCAGAGTATGACTGAGGTTCCTCTACTTCTGATTGTCTAACAGTAACTATTTAAAGATATTCTTATGGTCCCTTCTTCTGGATTTGACTGGAGAGCACAGCCTGATGTGTGGAAGGTTTGGGTTCCTGGAACGCTTTCTGTGCGGGTTCTTGCATGTGCAGAACTGTGAAACGAGAACTGTGAAACGAGCTTAGAGAAAAATGAGTTGTCTAATGGTCTGATTTTTTCTAATGCTATAGGAGAAAATCTGTGGAAGAGAAGGGAGCATGTTTTGGAAGGAAAGAAGTAGAAGGGAAACAGGTAAAAGAGCTGAATACAAAGTATTGGGAGCAGAAATGAYTTGTTGCATTAAGGATTTGGATTGGTAGGAAAATGAAATATCAGAGACTCATCTGTGATATCGATTAGAAAACTACACTTAGACCCTGAGCAGGCAACTTTTCAGACCACTGTGTCTGTTAATTAGTTGTTTATGAGCCATGTCCTATGACATATGGGCAAGGACAGAAGAAAGTGAGAAAAGCAATRATGATATTTTTTTCTTGCCACGTGGCTGGGAGGTTATTGAGGTATTTTTCCTTTATAAGAGATGGGATGAGCCCTGATGGCCCCAGAAGCATTAATCTCCCGTTAAAACAGAACAATTATTACCCACTGCAGTCTTGTTAATTTGGCCACTGTTCAGGAGTTGAAAAATATATAGGCTTAGGCCTTCTGAAAAGACATCTCAGYAGATTGCCTGAAAAAGAGGTTGCAGGCAGCTCAAATTTCCTTTGATTTTCAATTAACCGGTGTGTTTTTCACTTGGAGTAAATGTTCTCCAGGACTTTGCCAGCAACACATGAAGTGTCTCCTTCTCTGGACATGTTTACCTGTTACCATCTTTTTTGCCTGTGAAAATTTTCTTCTGGGTGCACTTTACAGGAATGTGAGTTAGCAGTATTTGCCTTTGGATTTCAGTATCTTTACAGCCAATGAACAAGGTGAGTGGGTGCTGTCCTGTAATGAAGTAATGCACCTGGCAACAGTATGGCTGGAATTAGCTGGAAAGACTGCTTCTGTCTAGTTTTGTTTACAGTCCTTATTACAGTCCTTACTAGTTATTTGGGATTTGTATTTTTCTTTTTTGGAGAGCCCTTTCAGAAACAGCCTTCTGGAGAGTTGTTGAAACTAAACTTGTTAAATTTTTTGCTTGGGTTTGGTTTTTATCAAGTCTGGAACTGTGGTATTTTGGAGCAGAATACAGCTTTTACTTTCCCAGCTTATTTAATACCAGCTTGGCTACAGCTACACCTAGCTGGAGTGCTCTTACAAACCCCAGTCAGTGGAAATGGAGTAAACACTGAAGTGCCCATGAAGTTCTTCTCCACCCCCTGGTCAAGGCTGTCAGCTGTAACAACATGGCATAAGTTTAAAGCAGTTTTCTGTAAGAGGTGGGAAAGTTGTAGTTTTCTTACCTAGATATTAAGAGAGAGGCAGGATATAAAAATGAATTTTTCAGGATCTAACTGGGAAGAGAATATGCCAAAAGAGTGTTCTCACAGTCTGCTGTGACTGACCTTTTTTTTTCCCCTCTCAGCTAAGGTGCAGAAAATAATGGTCAACTTGGGCCATCAGGACTTCTCACMATTTTTTCACTATGGCTGTTGTATGACTTTGCTTTTAAGCCCTCCTTTGCTTTCAAGCTGTTTTAAGCCATCGATTGAATGGCTCTCCATTACAGTTTATTTAAAATACTTTGTGTTTTCTCCTCCTTGCCTGAATGTAAGTGCCATTGAATGATTAAGGTGAAGGCAGGGTCTTTTGGTTGGTGTGTTTTTTTGAACTGCTTTTCTTGCCCCCAGAGTAATTCAGATGTGGCTTTTGACTCATTTCTGTTTGYTGTTTCCATTTTAAGGGTATTTGCACTCAGGGCAGGGTGATGGAGACACCACTTCCAAAGTAGCATCAATCTGTGGAAGCTGCAAGGGCAGCTTGGGGCTGTTCAGGGTGAGGGTTTTCATCTGCGCCTAGGATGAGTGAGTGCTTTTCCTGAGGGCCCCGTGCAGATGAAACTGTGCGTACTGGCAGGARCTGCCATTACTGAAGTGTTTCTGCTCATTGTAAACACTGACTTTGCTCTGTGAACAAGTGACTTTTTATTTTGCTGGCATAGTCTGCTTGCAGTTACAGTATTCGTAAGTACTTAGTGCTGTCCAGGCTGCAGTGCAAAATTCCTTTGTTGTCATGAAGGGGATGTGAGTTGCAAGAAGTGGAATATAGTGGAAATGCATTAAATCTAGGACGTATCTAATATATGGATAGAGCATGCATTGTAAACAGGGCCTGGGTTCCTCACATTTCCTTCCATGTCATACATTACAGTCTCATTTAAATCAGCAAGGAGCTTTTTCTGTAAGTCCTGAAAAGCATCTTTTCCAATGATCTGAGGGGTTGTGATGCTGCCTGATTTGTGATCCTGTTACTGTAAATGACATCAACATGAGGTGGATTCTGACTGCTGGGATGGYGTCACAACTGTGGACCTGCTGGTTTACAAGAATTTTGGAGAGACGCGAGAGCTGACAAAGCTGTGGAGATGATAAAGGTGAGAAACCAAGTCCTGGAAGAAAACAATGCTTTAAAGCTAAAAATAAATTATTTCTTTCTACACAGCTCAGTGGAGATGAGTGCCAGGAATACTTTTTTGTAGCAAAACCAGCCTGCAAAGTGTTTCAGAGGTGACTATTACTTTGTTGTGTTTTTTAACCCCCTCAAGCCTTTAAGAAAAACTGCAGGTAAAGCGCTGATGAATGGAGGAGGTACCAGTTCATGTTCTCCATCCAYGTTCTCCTGTGTGATGGTGCATGGGATTCCTGGCTTGAGTCAGCCTGAAAACACTTGTATGTATTGGTTTTTACTGTCTTGGTATCTTGCATGCAATTGCACTGTGTCAGCCAGGAACCCTCAGGACTCAGTGAGGGGGCTTATCATTTTCCTTGTCTTAGAAGTGAACTGCTTACTATGAACTTCTGCTACAAACCAGTGAAAAGCAGACAAGAAGTGAGGTTTTTTTCCACTATGGAAGTGTGAAGAGTTTGAATTGTTTTAGTGTCTAAGAGGTCAGTATCTAGTAACCAGCGTCTCTCGCTAAAAGTGATGGGGTTTGTTGGCTTTTTGATATCACAGAGCTTTTGACAGTACATGAGCTTCTCGTAGGAGGCAGTGTTTGATTCCACAGCTTTGAAGAGATGTCTGGAAAGAGGGCAGCTTCTGCATCAATGTACTGTCAGAGAGGGGTAGCAGAGTTGACACAGCTACAGCTCTTTATCAGGTAAGGACATCCTACATTCAGAGCTGACCACAAGAGGTGCTTGCTTTGTGATTAGCACAAGCAGTAAGAAATAGCTTAGCACAGAAATGAAGCAACTCAGGGAGGGAAGGAATAAAAAATGAGACTGCACCGTTGCCCCTTCACTGCCTTGAGTGAAACACTATTACCAGTGAAGTAGCACTGACACTTAGTGAGCACCTACCTACATTTATTCCTCATACCTTGTTTATTTTTAATRTTTAAATCTGTACATCTCAAAAATGTACCATAGTCTTAGGTRATGTGTGATGTAATTACGTGACAACCTATAATGGATTAAGARCAGGAAAATGCTTCAGGGAGCAGCACTGTGATTAGTCCTGGAATCCTCAACAACTGCCTTGCTGCTGCCAGGGTTATTTGTGAAGTCCCTGGTGAAGGGAGAGCTGTAGGACTGTTCCACAGTGCTGCCATAACTGTGACTATTCAMTGTTTTCCTTCCAGTTTACTCTAAGGGTTGCTGTGTCAGGCACACCCAGAGAGGAGGGGTGGAGCACAGCAGCTGAAAACCACTGCAGTAGCCAGGGATGGCCCAAACATCACCACGACTGCAAACCAGTAAGCATAATCTCAAACTGCAGGCTCGCTGCAAGCCTTAGCACACTGCCTGCTTCTGTGTTGTTTTCAAATGTAAGTTAAACACTGCTGTTGCCCTCCCAAAGATCAGCTCTAAGGCCTGGAAGAGGTTTCCCAGTTTTCTTACCCTTGTACCAGCTTAGGGTCCATGACATCACTCCAGATCATCACAGAGAAGAAAAATAAGTAGTACATTTATTGAATCTCCACTTACTACTTCTAGCCTTTATTCAGACACATGTGCTCAGCTTCGAGAGCCAAGAATTTCTTCATTATCATTCAATGTGAATGATGCTATACATGAATCAAGTGCAGGAAGTTGGGYTTTTCTCTCTAACAGGAATGAGAGAGGGATTTCTAGTCTTTCCATCCATTTTTTGGCTGCACAAAACCCTTTCCAAGGGCRCATGAAATAAAATATTATATTGCATACTATATACATTTACATACAACGGTAAATGCACCATTCATTCAGAAATACACAATACCTAAGGCTCAACGGAAAAGCTCAGTTGAAACAACTTCTCTCTGGGTAGCAGAGAAGTGGCTCATGACAGTTGTGGAAGTTTCCATAACCTGCGTTCATGTGGATTCTGCCCCTCTCTGCTGCAATCTCCAAGGACCAGCTGTGCCTGGGAAGGAGGAACAATGGCCCATGCCATTCYAGAAGCTCCTGGCTCAAAGAAGATATATACAACCGTATTGAAGGATTTCCTGTAAGAATAATTACTCAGCAACTGCAGGAGGARTCAAAGTACCTCAGTGTACTTACTTGACCACATGCAGAAGCCCCTTTGGGGCATAGGAAACCACTTCCCTTTATATCTGAACAATACTTTTAATTGTTTTTTGCTTTTCTCCTTGGATTCTTGGGCTGCAAGATTGAAAGAGTGCTATCAACTGGAATATAGAGTAGTGGGATTATTGGGAAGGGATTTTTTTTTTTTAAGCTGATCAGATCTGGGGCACTGAATTGTCTGCTTTCAGCTGTATCATCAGCCTTATTTTACRATACCTGAGCTTTGCCTCCCCCAGCTGCTTTGCTGCACTGACGCCCATCTCCCACGTGCTCTATAGGGACATTACTGCACCTTGCTTAGCCTTTGAACTGTCTAAAGTCCCTCTAGGGCAATACTTGCCCCGTTGCCAGATGTGGCAATCTTTTTTCTAAGATAACAAAGCAATTCATTGACCAGAGTCACCAGCCACTGTATGACACCCAAAGCACTGCAGCTAAGGAAAGACAATGTTCCCTGTCTGTCCCTGTCCCACAGGCGCAGTCCCCACCATCCCCACGCAGCGGCACTGTAAGCAATGGGCACGGGCAGGAACGAGGCGTTCTTGGACCTCGCTGTGCCAAATAGACTACGGAGAAAAGCTGGGCTTCACTGCACTAGATTCCCCTTTTATTAGGCTGCTGCTCTTTTCTCAGCAGTGGGCTCAATAGCTTCCCCTCTTCAGTCTTCACTTCTGGGCTCAGAGGAGTAACACATTAACTCCAGCTCGTGCCTGTTTCATAGACTGAGAAAAGTAATTTAAAAATACACAAAGTGTTAACTGTGCTCTCTCCCCTGCTCAAAGTAGGGCAGGCATTCCAAATCCTTCCTGCAAGTAAAAGTCAAATTGTAGCACACCATTAATACTCAAGAGTGTGACTTGCACTCTATGCCCCAGGGCAGTGGCAGCAGCCCTTTCCAAGGGTGAGGCAAGGCTCCACATGCACATTCTCTGCTCCTGCTCATTTGTCCAGTTGTTTTGGCTTGATAAGAGATGGCATTATAGCACACATTGGAGCACCACACGTCTCAATGGCACTGGGGGTGAGGGAGTCCCTCTCAGCTCCAGCTGGAGTTTTGCAGTTCCTCTCGGAGCCAGGTTGGAAGGGGCTGCCCAAGTCTGTTCATCAGCTTGGATAATTCAATGTTGTGTTCCCGGTAGAAGTCTCTTAGAAAGAGCCGTGACTGTGTGGAAAAAACAGACCATATGAGCATGAAAGAAGATGTTACCCTCAACACATGTTCCACAGGTCATCTAGGACAGATGGTAGGAAAATCCATAGGGCTATGCTGGGATGTTTCTACATCTCTTGCTGCCAACAGATTTGAGACAGTTACTCACCAAGGAATCCATTTCAGGGTATTTCCTTCCTTTACTCTTTCCTAGGCATTTAGTCTTTCCRCCATCTAGCAGCTGGCACCAAAATCCTTTTGCTTCATCAAATCTGAAAAGGACATTTGTCTTTAAAAGATACAGCCACATACCCAATTAGCAGCAGCAGAAATTAAGTAACTCCATAGTTATTTCSTATTTCAGTGTTTTGCCTATTTATGTTGTGGTATTGGTTCCCTGTTTTTTTAGCACCAGACTGACAAGAAATCCATTACAAACATGATTGATTCAGCTTTATGCAAATTTCAGAGGCAACATGGTGTTACACTATTTGTTCAGCTGGGGGAAAAATAACAGTTTTACTGTTATGTAAATTCTTTTAAATCTCCTTGCTGTAGCTGAGTATTCGAGAATCCCCTGACTGTTTATACCGAGTCAAGTGTTTCTTTTCTTGCTAAAACACAGGCATGAGGCAATACTGCAAGTGTCTGGATCTGGTCTGGTCTGTCCCCTGAGCTGGCCAAAGGTGAGCTTGAGGTTTGAGCAAGTTCCCCTATGAAACTTGAGGGAAGCTGTCCAATTAGATTTATTTTCTGACCCTGGCTGAAGGGTACCAGCAAGTACCACTGCTGCAGATACTCCATGCACCATAGCATGTGTGCTTTTCAGCAAGTAAAGCTCTCAAGTAACCTGACATTTCTCTAAATCTGTTCTCCCCTGGGGAGCCCCCTACCACCCTGTTGGAAAACAGCTGTAGGAGGAGGAGTGAATGAGTTGTTCTCTCTTTACTGTGAAAGGAAAGGGCAACTGTTCTATGCCTACATGCACACACACCAGCCACCATCCTTGGCTGGCATAGGTTGTGACAGCAGAGAAGATGTGAGAACAGGTTTCAACTGCAAAGAACAATATTCGTGATCTCCAGKGGGATTGCAGAGTTTCCACTGAAGACTAATATGGCCACCTTCAACAGCATTTAATCTATTGAGATTAACTGTATGTGCAGTGTGGGCAAGATCACAGTCATGGCTGAGGAGCATCCTTTAACTGTAGCAGTGCAATGGTGCCTCTGCTCCCTCAGGCAGCCCTGAGCACCTGTCAAATCCACGTCATCTCTAATAACAGGCTTTTTACCTCAAAACAGTGCAGTGTGGCCCTAATCTCCATCTGGGTGAACAGATAAGCAGCTTGTCACACATTTTTTTATCATACCTCCTTTACTTTTTGTCAGATACAGGTATAACACAAAGCATAAGGAGTGCTAATAATAATAGCACCTTCTCTAATGGAAGAAACATCATAGTTACTGCTGTGAGCAACTTCATGCTTCTCCATGCCAGTGGCAAAGCCTTGTCCTTCCCCTCTAATTTCTAGAAACACTAGGATGTGATTCCAGTCTCCTCAAAGCATCTCGTGCTATCTGAACCTCATATTAGGGTTAGGCATAACTCTGAAACTCTGGCTGGTCTTGTGGTCAGAGACAAGAAGTATTCTTTCAAACAAGGGCTTCCTGGCTGAGAATGCATCCTCCCAAAACTGATTTATTTCCCTACCTGAGGGCCTGGGTGTAGTTGAAGTGCGGCGTAACTCCCAAGAACTTCTGGATGTTGTCCATTACAGAGGCAGGGTTGTGTCTCAGCTCCTGACCATCCACAATGAGAAGCTGAAAGGAGAACAGCTGCCTTAGCCTCTGCCAGCTTGGGCTGACTGACACCTGTGAGCTTCCTGTATCTCCAACTGCCCCTGGCCTGTGAGCACACACAGCCAAAGTCTGTTCTGGAACAWCACAGTGGGGGAATGTGGCCCATTGGTCACCACAGATAGAGAAGCTGATATGGGCCACAAGTASCATGAAACAATAAATCATGACAAGCTTTGTTTAATGAAGTTGTCTTTGACCAAATGCCCTGTAACTAACCACTAGGGCCCAGCAGCAGCATGTACACTGTCTCTGGAAATATTTTAATTTCMGATGTCAGCAGCCATTGT